ACACACACACACACACACACACACACACACACACACACAGCCGTAATAAAACTCAGAGCGTTGTTGTTTGGGAAGGGAGGTGGGGGTGGGGGGTCATGACAGGTGTGGTTTGGTTAGACATTACGGCTGCGACGAGTCCGAGTCTCTGAAAGAAATTCTTTCATCACTCCAAGTGAAAAAAAAAAAAAAAGTAACTCTGGCCAGTGAGGAAGTTAAGGACCAACGTTCTGCTCCACTGCCATTGTTTGGCAACTTTTATTTGTTTGGYAAAACTCTTTGAYTTCCTGTTCTTACATTTACTTTTAYTATTTCTCCCTAACAAGTCARTTGCAATACTTGAAAAACACATTGCATGTTTTTTTTTCTTCAGTTCATAACAAAATAAAACTATAAAGAATAATACMGATTTTGTTAACTGGGTTTGTGTGAAGTGGTTATGATCAGTCAGTATCTTACCTGCAGTAGATAATAGTCAGGGTTTGACGACTCAGCGGAAAATTTTTAATTTATGTTGAGCTAAAAGMTAATCTGACTTGCAGCCCTCTCAAACAAACTTTCAACGTTTAGTAGCAGAATAAGTGAATGCTACGCTAACTATTTTTCGGCCACATTCTGTTTCAGCTAGTTATGCTGATTGAGTTTGTTTAACATGTGTAGTTTTCCACCACATGTTTGTAATTGTAACGGAACAAATACCGTGGCCTCAAACAGTCATACTCAAATGTAAACAACGATAATGTTTATGTAAATAATTAYGCCTTGCAAAAATGATACGGCATGCAATTTGACAATAGAAAGTTCTGTTAAAWCATTAGAACATTTTTTACATTTCAAAATCTGCTTTAATTGATCTGATTAGATGTTAATTTAACTAGAGTCAAATTTTTCTCCCTGAAGTTCCAAACTGAGATTGCGTGATTGTTWTCTGCTGCAGATAAGATACTGACAGCTCATAACCACTCCACAAAATCAGGACTAATATCTTATAGTAACTAAAGACCTGAAGCATTCCTTGAAAGAATGCATATCACCCTCCACTCTTCATGCCAGAGAGTTTCAGACTGACATCATCTCACACTGAGGATTCAAACCTCAACAATAAAAAATAGAGTTATGTGCGATGTGATGATGTGAGATCTCTTAATCTGGAGTTGTGGACGGCTGACAGCCTCATCCTGTAACAGCTCAATGTTTGTAGAATTGTCTGAGTTCAGCCATTTTTGTGTTTGTGTTTTTTTTTATATTAATTGGGATATTTTTTAAGAGTTTTACTTACTGCATAATGCAATTAATTACATTTGAGCAAATTATTCAGAGCACAAACTTCAAGGAAACCTCTCGGGGCGTAATTAACTGTTAACCAGTGATTACTKTCTGAAAGTTTCAATGAAATCCATTCAGGTTGAGGAGATATTTTGCTAAYAAACAGACAGAGTTGTTTACAGTGATCTTGCTCGGTCAGTTAGCACTCAGAGTCAAACTTAAGGCTTGCTGGCCAAATCAGGCCCTCGTTGACATTTTATCTGGCCCCAAATGTTAGATTTGAAATGTAAAACAGTTGAATCGTTTCTTTTTGACAACATATGTTTGTTCTCATGACYGTAGTCGACTTTAGTTATCTTTCCTGTATTTTCTTTTATCCGTCAAATATTTTGATTTGTAGTTAAGATTGTCTTTTTTAAATTGTTTTCTATGTGTAATTAAGTTTATTTTTTATTTCTTTAGCCGTGATCAGTTCTGTACGTTTTAATTGCTACAAGTTATAATTTAGAACAGGTCATTTGTGTTTTTCTATGAGAATAATTTGTTATACAACGTTTAAAACCAAGTTAGGCTCTTACGGTGGAACTGAGTTTGACCCTCTGCTGTAAACGTTAATCAGTTGTTCAGCTAGTTTTTGCTTGAAATGTACACTTCGGGGCCTTTCTGTGCGTCTCACTCCAGCAGCAGAAGACTGCAGCCAGGAGTCAAACATTTTACTCGCTGCTCGTCTCATTAAGACAAACAGAAGCAGCGTGAAGTTGGCGGAGCTCTGCCACTCCTCTGCTTTCATGCACCGCGCCTCTCTACGAAGCTCCAAAAACACCTGACAGGTATGTCCTCCCCCCGGTGACAGGTGGTGGAGCAGAGCTGACGTTGCAACCATGACAGAGTCCAGGCATGTCCAGGTGCCAGACATTAATGACTGGCTCCGGGCCGGGGGGTATCTGCCAGCTCAGTGATAAGATGTGCTGACAATACACTCCTTAGAGAAAGACCCCAAACAAAGGCTGCGCAGGCATGAGGCAAAGAAAGAAGGAAAATCTACAGAACTTTAAAACTCACAGGGGGCTGAAGATCATGAGGTTAACAGAATAAAAGCAGAGACATGAGGAGCACTTTGACATATAGTGAATGAAAATAAGAGCTCTAAATGATTTTACGCTCATTCAGAAAGTGTGACCTTACAGGAGTAAAAACACTGAGATGTCAAAATGAAATAAGACAGAAACACACACACACACAGAAACACACACACAACTCACTTATTGATCTTTGCAGGGTTGTAGTCCCCCTTCTTCGACATCTTGGGACTTTGTCAGGTCCTGCTGGTGAAATCTGAGTCCAAGTGTGTTTCCTTCCTCCTGCTCCCTCTCTCTCTCTCTTTCTCTCATTCACTGTGTCTCCTCTCAGTTAAGGAGCGTCCACCTGTCTCAGCTCCTCCCAGGATAACAGGTGTGTCGTCAGCAGCAGCCCAGGAGCAGACCGGGTGGACCTGTTCTGCTCTACTGTCAATTCAACATAAAAAAAAACCTCACATTGACTTTATAATCTAGATCTCTACTCCATAGATTTATTCTAATGTCATATGCATTGCAATATGTGAATAATTGATCTGTCTCAGAAATGTATTGAATTTCAGAAAGTGTGAGAAAACAGACAAAAACTCTGTTTTTATAAGTTTTATGACCATTCTGAGTTGCTTTAAGATCCTACATTGCTTAGATAGTCAGACAGCATTATCAGAATTTTACATCAACAGGTAAAAAAGGTGTCAAAACAATTACAGCTCCAGCTTTCTTCACAAGCAGAATACAAGAGGAATGTAGAGGAACTTGTCCAAAAAAAAAAAAAAAACTCATTAGTTGTCTCAGAGAAATGAGAACAAAGAGAAAAAGGAGAGTAAAAGCYCCAATTTGATCTGAGTGAGAGGACTGTGGTCAGATTTGACTTTTTATTAAAAATGATGACGAAGAAATGTTTTAGAAACAGTTTTGGAAAAAAGTAAATAATGAAAAAAAAATAGAACCGGATCTGTTTTTAGCCATATTTCTGTTCAAAACGATGAATCAGAACACCTCATTGAGCTGGAGTGAGTAACTTTCTGAGTATCAGTACTTATCGTTCACACACCCTGTACTATTACTCAAGAGTCAAGGTCTGATGGCAGGAATATAAAGTCCACCTGCTGCCAACCCAAAGAAACAACTGATAACAAACATTACATACATGCTCAGTACTGTGTGTGTGTGTGTGTGTGTGTGTGTGTGTGTGTGTGTGTGTGTGTGTGTGTGT